TTTATCCGGACTTTATGATAGATAAATAATGGCATGAGTGGATTTGAAGGACAATTGGTCTTGGCTGGTCAGTTTGGCCAAGTACTAGGAAATTACAGCTAGGTTGGAGGAGGGTTGAAGCATATAGACATCTGAACTAAAACTAAAGTGATTTTTGGTTTGTTTAAATTAAACTTTTTAAGTGAGCACGGACCTGGTTATTGATCAAAATTTCCGCTGACGTTTAAGATTTTGGCAAACTGATTTTATACCAAGATATTACTTTTGTGCATCTTAACAGTTATTGTTTTATTTGATTACAGAAAATAATTAAACGTAAAGATTCATATTCTCTGATTTATTCTTTGAAATATAATCGAGGGTCCCGCTTATAATGTTTAATGTTTGGATACTTCTTTAAGCTTAACTTGTATATGACTTGTAGCTCAAATGTGTTTTAAGATTTTATTATTTCTTCTAGAACTTGACTGTAAAATCTCAGTTCTTTACCTTATTTACTGTTAAATCTATGAGTTACTTATTGTATTTGGAAAAAAAAACTAGACTGTAGGTTAAGACAAATTCTTATGAGGAGTATCCTCGTGAATTATTCCCTTTATTCCCTCGTGTAAAAAAAATGAAGCAACTATGTGGTGAATGTAGAAGCTCATTGTTCCCTGATATCAAGCAAATGACCGGTTCCTCTTTTGGTTCCCTGACATGTTTTTAAGTAGGAGAGTGTTAACTAGCAATTTAACAGTGATATATTTCTATTCCAGTAGTCGGTAAACATGGCATCTGTCATTCGTAGTGCTGCAGAGGACGGTATTCTGAATACATGGGATTATGGAAAGGTGTGGAGTCACAGTCTATTCATAGCTGCTTGCTTTATTCTTTCTCACCTCTGTACAAAATTTATGATATAGCATGTAGTTTTGAAGCTTCTGACAAGATTGTTTTGTAAAAAAAGAATTGTGCAAGTTTTTTCATTGTTTATCAAGTGATCGACTCTTTTGATCGTGCTTGAAATCTTTATTCTTCGCCTAGATTGGCAAGCTGGAGGGTGCTGGAACATGAAGTTCAAATTCTCCGCAGGGTCTTTTCTTTCGATATGCAGGGCACAGGTCCCAAGTTTATCTTTATTTTTCTTGTTTTGCATTCTCACAAGTGGCAAATAAATTTTTGGCTCATGTGGCTTAGAGTGTTTTATTTATTTTTCAATCTCTGCTCTCCTCTATAAACACAACCTATATGAGTGTGTTCTCCTAGTTAATTGTTTTGCCTGATGATTGTCCACCTTTGCCCCAAATTACAGGCGACATACATTCCTAATACTCTCATCTTTTCTTCTCTACTCACCTTATGATTTTTCTGAATGACAAGGATAAGGTTGTTGACTTCCACTGGAATTCGTCGGAACTGTGGACAGTTGTCAGTGCCTTTGAAGATGATGAAAAAAATGACCGGGGAGGTACGCTACAGATACCAACAAATTTTCTTGCACTCGAGTTTAGCCTTTATCTACTAGGCCATCCATTATATATGGGTAAAAATACTCATCGTGTAACAAGTATATTTTGTGCGATCTATTGAAGTATGTGTTAGTTTCTTTCTTTCTACCAGCAGTTTCATATTTCGCCTATCCTCTATTTGCAAACATTTTAGTTTTAAGTACTAATAATATCAAAAATGCTTTCTTTTTCATTTTGTAACAGGAATTTCTTCTTCACTTACATGTCATTCATCACTTTACTAAAATCTATTTATTGTAGTATACATATGCAGTCCCAACGCTAATATGCACAAGGAGAGTAACGCATACAAATGCATCGCACGTGCCTCCACTAGTTTGAATATATAAGTATACGTGTTGTATGTATGTCAGCGTGCACGTAATGCATGACAATGCGTGGAGTTCAATTTATGGACTAGACAAGTTTAGGAGAGACATGTGCATAGAAAAGCGTAAAAAAACGTTTTCTTATTTTAATTTTTAATTAGTCAAAGAATCATTTAATAATTAAAAATAATATATATCAAACACCTAAAACAAATTTATAAAAACTTTATTCATTTTTCCAAAAGTTTCCAACAAAAAAATAAGTTTCAAATGTAAATCAATCTTTAAGCCCATATTTGATCCACATTCTTAAAAAAATTCATTCTTTCAAAACGTATTTTCAACCACACATTTTTTAATAAAATAATATTACATGTAAATTCAAAACTTTTTCTTTTTTTTAACCATATATTTTATATCACATCGTATCATAAAATGCATTCTTTTCTCAATAATATGCATCAAACACACCCTAAATTTTAACTTAAAAGAATTGTAAAAAATTTAAAATAAATAAATAAAGATAATAAGCGCGTATAATTGTGCCTAGGCATGCATTATGCGTCTAGGCACGCCTTTTAGAACACTGATGTATGTTTAGGCCAACAATCAGTGATTGGGGCTCCGTGTCAATGGTGGTCATTTGAATTCGGACTCTTTATTTTTCCTTTTTCTTTTTTGATTTTTCATATATTTTGTTTAGTGAAAATTTTAATTAATAAAAGTAGGGAGAATTGTGGTTATTAACCTTTTTTTTTTTTTTTTT